AAGACACCCTGCGTAAAGGCCTTTCCTAGTTTAAGAAGCAACTCCCTGGCCCTCGAAAGCTGTCGGGAGAAACCTCGAAGCCACCTTTTCTCCCATCGATTTTCCAGTCCATCGAGTGGGCCCCCGAGAGGAGCGCTTGGAATCCTGGCGGCGCTGAGTATTCGTTTGTTGGATGCGGAATAAAAGTCACCGAGCTCGGGGACGAGTGAATCCGAGCGGACGAGACATGTTTCGAGCGAGTCGTCGCCTTCCTGACATAAGGGCGTAACCACACTCGACGATGAGCCCTATTGTTCATATAACCCAGTGCTTTCTCGGGTTCATGTAAAATTGTAGTTACGCCTTTTTATCAGCCAAGCGACGGAGTGTCACCGAGCCCGCATCGAGAACGGAAAGAAAAGAATCAACATTCCCGCGAGGGGCCGCGGGACGGGTATTTTCGGTGACAGGTGAAAGAAGCTGATGGACTCAATGAAACGGAATACCCGTATAAAGCTCATACCTGGTGGCCGCTGGGAACCTCGAGGGCCCCGGGGCGGCGGGCGCCGGGAGGGGGGATAGATTAATTTGTCCGCGTGGATGGGATACCTCGTGGAAAATAAGAAGGTAATTTGTTGACGGTTCTGGCGAGCTTTACGGAATCTGATAAGCAGCGGCGCGATTGCCAGTTTTTTCTACTCTCTTTCAGAAGTCCTACAGCAGATTTGTTTTGTCCGGGGGGGGGGGGGTGTTTTTCTTTCATATTTACGAGAGCAAGATCTCAGAAGCGAGTTCGCGAGTTTTTGATCTCAGAATATGGTTGAGATAGTAATTACCCTTAAAATCCTCAAAAGTGGGGAAATTTCCATTCAAATGTCATGAAACGAAGAATTTTTTTCGTGAAGGATGATGAAAAATGTATGAAAGTTAAGAAGGGTTCATATTGCTGAAAATGGTCATAAATTAGAATGGATTTCATTTGAAAAAGTTGAAAATTGAGAAATCACTTCGAAACTCTTATGACGCACGAGTATTTTTTTCACGGATTTTGGAAATGGTATAACGAGGTATTCACTTAACTTCCGCTCGTGAAAATTATGAAATCAACTCAAAACTGTCACAACATAGGAGATTACATCCATTTTCACATCCTTAACCAAGTAAAAACAAGCGAAAAATTGCACTTACTAAGCGAAGATGTATTTCTTTTAACTGTTTTCTACGACCGAAACAAATGTCAGAAACAGCCTGATGCGTTTTTTGAATGTAGCTTTATATTTAATTCATCACCCTTAGCTGTACCCAGAGGTAGTCGGGCAAACTTTTTACCAGTGTGTCAGCCGGTGTAGCCGATGCGGGCGCTACACAGCACTGCGGGTGCGTCGCGCGTCGGGACAAAAAAAAAAGGAAAGGAAAAAACAAAATACATAAAGACTCGAGAAATGAAAAGTCGGAGGCTGCGCGACTCCCGAGGCGAGACACCTGAAATTCTCCTGGGTGTATTCCTCCGATCCTCCGGCGGGTCGGGAGCGTTCCCAGCCGGGGCGGGGGAAAAAGTCTCGCAGGTATGCTGTACGCCGGAGCGTCGGGGGATACCAAAAGCCCCCCCTCCGTCCCCCCCGGTCGCCTCCCGAGCCCGCGATTTACATTCCTGGTGGCCCCCGACGGATTCCCACGGAGCAAGTTGAAATAAAAGCTGAGAGTTGGCCGGGAGTCGCGCGTTGCCGCTGCTCACGACGCGACGCGACGCCCCGCTCGCTCCCTATTCGCACTCGCTATTCGCACTCGCTATTCGCACTCGCTGTTCGCACTCGCAGCGTGTTTCGGCTGAGCGGATTTCTATTGTCTTTTCGGGAGTCGTCGCCAACCTCGCCCCGCGGTGAGTCATGAGCCATGTACGGAGTAATTTTTTGCGCTCTTGAGATGTCGGTTAATTCTGCTTCTTGCCGCTCCAGGAACTAAGTTCTTGAAAAGTCATCGAAAACTTGAAAAGTCATCGAAAACTTGAAAAGTCATTGAAAACTTGAAAAGTCATTGAAAACTTGAAAAGTCATTGAAAACTTGAAAAGTCATTGAAAACTTGAAAAGTCATTGAAAACTTGAAAAATATGGGAAAGCCAGAAAATCAGTTTTCTGTAGTTGGATTTCTGTATCTGTGGATCATTGCATACCACCACTCAGTGAATTTCTGCCTTCAGGTTCTCAAATTAGGGATTTTTTTCCAATTTAAAGAGACTTATTCGAGCTTGAAATTTTTTGTGAAAATAATTTTCATGAGAAATTATGCCCCTCTCTAAAAAAAAGGAAAAAAAGACTTTAAAATGTCATTAAATTGTATGCTGTAAACCCCTCAGTAGTCACGGAAATGCAAGGGGATTTTGAAATCAATTACAAAATGATTCGTAGCCACCTTTTCACATTCATATCAAAATGTCCCCTCAAGCGTAAAATATGTCGATTAGGTCACGGAAAGAACTCCGCGAAAATTAACCGCCGACTCCTCCGCATTTTTCAAGACATTCTAACTGAAATTATGTTTTCGCAATACCTCCACTTCAGTAGGAAATGTGTGGATATTCGCTCTGTTTGGCGGACGTGCTGGCAAGGGCAAGGAGGAGGATGCGAAATCGTGTTTAATAATGCGAAGAGCACTAAGGAGGAATGTCTTCATGCTCACCTCCACTTGCGCTGTCCTTGTTTCCGTCTCTCCTTCTCGACTGATCTGTTCGGTATCCTTATCTCGCCTTGCCAGCAGCCCTGCGATGCTTCAGAAACTGAGGCAGCAATTGCCACCGTCCTGAAACAGGCAATTTTATAATTTAGTTTTTCCCCCATCTCGATCAGCTCCACTAATAATTACAAAATCCAAAAATTTAACCCGGAAGAAATCCCGACTATGAACCAATTCCAAGTAGGAAAACCAGAAGAAGATCCAAATTGACGACCACAAGAATGAAGAAATTAGCTGTTGTAATTGCGTCAGGTAAAGCGTTCTCAGTTTGAGCCATGTTGAGCGTGTTGCCTATCCACCTGCAACTCGGCGCTTTGCGGGTTGCCTACCCGGCGACTCGGTTCCCATAAAACGAGCCCGGTGCTCGGGGTTAAACCGACACCGCTCAACGTAATGAATTGTCCGCACGGGGAACACCGCGTCTCGTCGGGAGGAACGAATTAACCGGGGAACGAGGGAGACGTGCCCCCCGAACGTCCGCGCGATATATCGATCGTCGCATTCCGCGGGGAAACAATCGCAGGATCGATAGTTGCGCTCGATATGACGGTTCGGTCGCGAGCGAAGCGGAGCACGACTCGAAAATAAAGAGTTCAGAGGTAATGCAGTGTTGTCGAACTTGGCGGAATTCCTTAAGGCATTTCGCCCGTTGGTCCTAGACGAGGTCTCCAACTGCCCCAAGGAACAATGAAATGAAGGATAATCCAAGATATATTTTATCATATCTTCGATAGTTCAAAATTCTAAGTACCGTTTGCAAATCTCAGGCAGTAAGCACTCCAAATTTTCTCCATGATTCTTATTTTCGATGCCTTTTGATGTGAGTGTTTGAGAAAAGACCAATTATTTGTGGAAAGCTTGGGAGGTTTTCATTTAATCGTACTGCATTTTGCTCCTAGGGGCTGTAATCTTTGGCTCATCCGTAAAAACACGTGTGTACGCAGGGAAACCAATTGTACATACGTTGTTCCGAAATTAAGCCAGCAATTGTAGTTCCAAATCGCAAAATGTAGTCCAATTGTTCTTAATATAAGTTCGCGTGTTGACTTGAATGGAATTTAAAATTTTGACAAAGTAGATATATATCCGATGAACTTGAATGAAATTCGCCAGCACCAGTTATCTATCAAAATCCGTTTCCCCCCTTTTTTTGAAGCTCCAAGTGTCGTTCAAGGCGAATGCTAAAAACCCGTGCATGTTAAAAGTTCTTCCGATGACGATTGATCAACGGCTAACTTCGCCTCGGGCAGAATATCGGCAGCCGCGGATGGATGGCGAGGAAGAAGAAGTCGGGGGTGGATGTGGCTGGAAGAAAGGTGAATTACGCTTATCTGAAAGTAAACGTGTAATTCATGGCATTGGCCGGAGGGCCCGCCCCCCAGACCGTGGGAGCCCCGGGCCCCATCCAGCCCCCGGGTCTCGGGGTCTCGCCCCCGGCGCAACCCCCTCCCCCCCGGGCCCCGCCCGTGCCCTGTAATTACGTGACGTGATCCCGTAGTGACCTTTTGACAACACTTTTCATTCCGATCGCTGCGCGTCAACGATCATCTTCAAACAAAGGAATCGGACTAATTCCACTCGCCATTAACCGGTTGTCTGGAGTCTGCCGGTCCGGCGCGGCGGGGACGAGGGGGAGGACGAGGAGATACGTAATAAATCTGTGGGTGGGTGAGCAGAAAAGGAAAGTGAGCTATGACGGACGAGTGCCCGGCGCGGCAGGTGAAATATGGATGTCATCAGTTAACCGGTTGCTTCGTCTTCATTTGCCTGATCTTGACAGTGAGCAGTGAGCTGTGTAAATATGGACGATAACCAGTTGGGTTTTCTTCTCGATGGGGTCGGCTCGCTCACGAGAAGTGCTTTTATTCGATTTTCCCTCAATGAATTGGAAATCTTCTGAAAGAGAACGAAAATTACTATCAAGGGATGAAAGCGTACTTTCCCATACGAAAGAACGTAACTTATTTCAATGTTGCTAAATTCTCCCTTCATAAGTTGCATTTTTCTAGGAGAATCTTTTGTAGTTTTGGCTGAAAATTTCACCGATTTTTCTGCTGATTTTGAGCGAAAATCGGAAAAATTTTCGACAGAAATTGCTCAGGTATATCCTTGTAAAAAATTGAATTGTTTGAGACAATTTTGTAGTATTGGAATGGAGAAGAAACGACGAATTGAAGATTCTGTAAAGATGCTATCCCGCAGGTGGACGGTGAAATCCACCCTGACTGAAATTTGTGAATTTTTCCTTTTGGAATTTGTTTTCTAACCATGTGATTGTCGGGTTTTGCAGGGATGGGGGTCCTGATCAAAAGACTGACAACGCAGCGCTACCTGCACATCAGCGAGAACTGGACGGAGGCGGTGCACAACTCGGACCACTCGCTCATGTCGTACGAGTTCAGGGTGACCTGCGACCCTCACTACTACGGCAACGGCTGCGCCAACCTCTGCCGACCGCGAGACGACAAGTTCGGCCACTACTCCTGCTCGCTCCAGGGGGACCGCGTCTGCCTCCCCGGCTGGAAAGGCGACTACTGCACCAAACGTAAGTACCGCATATTTCTATCCTTAAGGAGCTTCCAGTGGGAATGGTCAGAGGACAATGAGTTGCAGAAATGTCGCGGGCATGTTTCCAATGAGGAAGCACAACTTCTGGCTCTTCAATTGGACGTCATTCTGCAATGAGGAACTAAAGTTTCTGACCTATCCGTAAAAGCACCTATCTGTGTATAGATACTAATGGCACACACGTTGTTTCTAAAATGAGCCACAGATTGTAGTTACTTAGTCCAATTAGTTAGACATTTTTGCAATGAGGAGCCACTACTCCTGGCTTTTCAATTTGACGTCATTTTGCAATGAGGAAGTAAAATTTCTGACCCATCCGCAAAAGCACCTATCTGCATAGAGAAACTAATGGCACACACGCGTTGTTTCTAAAATAAGCCAAAGATTGTAGTTCCTCAGTCCAATCAGATTAGCTATCCGTACTGGTAAATTAACAGCACTTATTTTAAAATGTGCCAAAAATAGTGTTGCCTGATCGCAAAATTGCCATTGGAGGTCCTCAAGATTCCGTCGGCAGATAGTATTGCCGTGGCTCTGACTCATTAACAAAAACGCAGACCACTTTGTTTGGACGACTCTCATCACCGGTCGGCGTGAAAATCACCGAATTTTTGACTCGTTATTTCGTGAAACGGTGGAGGGGCGGCCCCTCCAACCGGGGCGGCCGCTTTCCCTAATTACTCCATTACGACCGCGCCGGCTCGTATCTTGTCATTTTTTCCCGCATATTTGCCCACGACTGACAGTCTCCGAGTCGAGTCCTCGCCCCGGGAATGCGGGCAACCACTTGCCACGTCTCGCCCCGATTCTAAATTTCATATCCTCCGTCATCGTCATAACTCGTCGACGACCGATCGGAGGAAAAAGTACCTCCCGGAATAGTTTCGAGAATTCGTTTTTTTCAGCTGGAAAGAAAGAAGAATAACGGGGAAAAAACAGAAGGCAGCAATGTCGGATTCATTTCGGACGTTTAATTCAAGACGAAATCATTTAAGTAATTATTAATTACTGTCAAAACACAGATTCAAAGAATTAAGAACATGTAGAGTCGCTCAGCCTGCATCATGTAAATCCCCTCCCCCCCCCCCCCCCCCCCCCNACTCGATGGTGTCATTGTGAAGTTACTCGATGGTGTCATTGTGAAGTTACTCGATGGTGTCATTTTAGGGATGGGGGGGGGGGAGATGATATTTTCCTCCCTCGTGCGAGGAATTTCGACCTTCCTTTTTTGTCAGTTTCAATGGCTTTTTTGGACTTTTTCGAAAATTTCACCGCTTTCGTATTTTGACCTTTTCTTGCGTCAGTTTCCACGGCTTTTTGAACTTTTTCGAAAATTTTGCCGCTTTCGTATTTTGACCTTTTCTTGCGTCAGTTTCCACGGCTTTTTGAACTTTTTCGAAAATTTCGCCGCATTTGTTATAAATTTCGCGTCCCTCTATTATTATTCAACCCCATTTTTCCTCCTACTGGACGAAATTTTTCCAAGAGCGAGTAGTGTGCCTCAGGCGCAGCAGCGGTTCCTCAGCGCGTTGCGGAGCCCAGTTTTGATGCGGATTAGTGTTAGTGACCAAGTTTGTGGTCCAGGGGGGAGGGGGGGGGCGTTGGGAGTTCCCACGCTCGGGGCTCCGGCCCGGGGCAAGAGGATCGTAGCCGCCCGAGGCTGAGTAATAGCCGGGCACAATTTCACATTGACCCCTGGAACCGGGCATTTATTCATTATTATATCGGTAATCAATAGTCGGGGCCGCCGCGCCGGTAAGCCACCGCTCCGGCCCCGGCCCTGCAAGCATGCCCATGCGGCCCATATGCTCCTCCGATTAATTGCGCGCTCGCGTTCCTTCCCGAGACGTCCGGGCCCGTCGTGACTCCGCCAACGCCCCCCGCCAACCCCCTGACTCC